GGTGATTGCTAAAGAAGATTTATTGAGAAATGAAGGAGCAGGTAACAAGTGTGTGCAGTGGAGATGAGATTCTATATTATTACACAGCAAGGTTTTTTTAGAGTATGGACAGAAAGGGATTATTTGACAACAAGGTTGGAGTTTTTAAAAAAAGAATGGGGTTAAAGAAATGAATGCAATAAACATATAGGATGATATTGGAAGTGCTGGTGAGTAAATAAGCTTTCAATGTGTGAGGTAAATGCACACATGGACAGTGTGTTCGTTATTACTGATTGTGCTTTTTATTCCAATTCGACCAATCAGTGGCAGATGCTACTAATAAGCAACAGGAAGGACCCAGGTTGCCAATACATCCTATCCTACCCGTTTCCACTGAAGGGAAGTTTAACAACACGATGCTCCATGTGAAGCTGAGAAATGCCGCTTGCCGTAGTTCGATCACATTTGGTCCTAAAAATTGTCTAAAATAATGATGAATGGCCATGACAAGTTACTAAGCCCAAAGCGATGTCTCCAGATGTGTTACAGCTAAAAATACTCGGACATGCTTTAACACTTGCTTCTGTTCATCACACTTTGGTGGCAGCTAGATTTTCTTCCTTCAGAATAGTAGTTCCCCTCGTTCCATGAATGGGTGATGAAAAAAGAAGAGGTGCAATTCAACCCTGTACCATAACAAGGACATGTGCCTCAGGACTATTTGATGAATTACCATGAAATTTGGTGCTATCTACAGCCCTGTCTCCAGAAATGACTCCTGAATGACTTTGGTGATCCCATGACTTTCCAACTAGCACCACCAACTAACTTTCTACTTGTCCAACAACACTGTAGGTGCATGACAGGATTAAAGCTAACATAGTTAGAATGCTAGCATGCCAACTGCACACATTGATGTGTTATTATTTATAGACCATTTTTTTCAGGATAAAGGGGGACTGGATAAAACCAGTCTATCACATATCCAGAAATAACCATACATGCTCACAATCACTCGTACAGGGCAATTTAAATTCACAAAATATAATGTAACCGAATTAACTAACACTGCATTTTAAATGTCCAGATGTTAACAAGCTACAGTAACTGTATACACGCTGACAATCAGCATGCGGTCGTCCGGATGTTAATATTTAATAGTTATATGCAATATTCATAATAACATGCTAATGTTGGCATGTTAGCATCCTTTTCTCTAGCGCCACCCTCTGGCAATTTAACTTCACATCTACTAGTAGGCATCTACGAGGAACAAAGTTGTTTTTACATTATTTTATCAATCCAAGTTATTTGTTTTCTGGTGTACAGTATAATAATCACAGCCGCATTACTGCAGTCTTTAATCCTATTAATGTATTTGTGAGTTACAAGAATTTAGCTTGTAGTTCTGCAAACTTTATTCTGAATCTGTGGTAATATGACATCTTCTGCAGTGTAACTTTACAAACGACATAGAATTTCTGAGTGGTTGTGTGTATTAGAGAGAAGCAGAACACCGATGAGAGAGAAAGGACCACAAACAAACACACATCTCTCCTTTCATAGTTAATGGAGGTGGAGCTCAATGAGGGAATGTGTATGCAGCCGTCTGGACCAGATTATGAGATTACAAAGAACCAGATTAGTGAGGTTGCTGTTTTTGTCTGGTTGGAATGTGGAGTGAAATGACAGAATGTGCAGAAAGAAAAACTGTGCTCTAGTTCAAGCTTTCTGCACTCTGGTCTGTACCTGTCCAATACTTGTACCTAAGGCTGCAACTAAGGATTAGATTCATTATAAATTAACTTGCTGATTTGTTTAGTCTATAAAACATTAGAAAACAGTGAAAAAAAATGCCTATAACACAATTCTAGAGCACAAAGTGGTGTCATTTATTGTCTTGTTTTAACAGTCCAAAATCGACAAAAATTGAATTTAATATAATGTAAGACCAAGAAGACGTCTTTTTTTGGGCATTTTTGCTTGAAAANNGAGAACAGTTGCTAATTATTCATTGTTCTATTTTATTTTTGATTGAATAACCATTGCTTTACTTTTATCATATCATATGGCAAATTGATCCATCATCTTGCATGGCAGTTATTGTACCATTAATCTTTGTTTAACAGTTTGTTTTAAATACTTGTTTAGTAACTCGCATAGCATTTGTTCATTCATTCACAGGAATACATTAATCTGAGAAGTGTGAAGTGCCCTACAGTTTCTATACCTTTTGGTGCTAAATGGGAGTGAATCTGGCTGTTGTATTATGACAAACCAGAGATTTATAAAAGCACATGAAAAACCTGTCACAATAACCAAGAAACAGATGGAAAATGTTCAATAATTTATGAAGCAGAAAGCAAACAATGGGACGTGGAGAAAAAAGGAATGAGATTACTCCTTTGATAAATATGAACAATGATATACCTGATTAAAATCTAATTATATAATTATATACATCCAGTTTGACATTAAATAAATTAATGACACCTTTGACACATACATGGTGTATTGAATGAAGGGGTAATTGGGGATTCATATGGTTAGGCAGTGGGGGATGGTCGGGAACCACTGCTGTACAGTATTAGAACAGGTAAGGTGTTGTCAAGACCTTTAAATTAATTTGAAGCAGAAAAGGCAAAACAGAAACACAATCACTGTCCTTCAAAATAAAGGAAAACAGTTTCAGGCAATAACAGATGGAAGTAGGAGGTGGGAGTAGTGAAAGGGCAAAAAGTCTTCCTAATCGTTCTTCCTAAAACACTACCTACCATATCACACAGAGAGGCTTCCCATTTCTTTTCAACCGTGGTCCTCCATGGTCGGTTTACAGTTGTATCGTTAATTAAAATTATGGTAATACACTGATTTTCACAAATAGCATAAGCTAAAGGGTCCATAAAAAAAAACAGTAAATCACACATGAAAGGTGAATGTTTAGATGCTGGATTCCGTTCACAAGGCTAGAAACTAAATTCATTAAGAGGAGAGGAGAGGAGACGAGACGGAGAGGACGGGAAGCGGGAGAGGAGGGAGAAGGAGCCAGAGGAGGGGAGAGGAGAGGAGAGGAGGGGAGAGGAGAGGAGGGGAGAGGACGTGTGCCAGATGACAACATCGTTGATGGCAGCCTCACTGAGCATGCTCAGCAGGGGGAAAACAGTTGATTGGTTGAGGGGCATGGAGCTAAGTGACGTGGGGAATCAGTGAAAAAGCCACTCTGTAGGCAGCTATTAATAACAGACCCTACACTAAGCTGAACTCTCGCTCCTGCATGGAGGAAATTATTGATATATGTGTATGCATCTGTATGGTAAAGCTCGCCTCATCATCACGGATACTTATGAGGAGGCTCAAATGAGGCGTGGAAATTCCAATATGGTTAACAACGTGATAAATGATGAAACACTACTGTTGCTGTGAGGGTGCTCAATTAATTTTCGAGGGCTGTCGTGAATCAAAATGCAATCACTGTGTGACTGTGAGTATTTATAAAGAGAAGACGTAAGGTGTAGGTGGATTAATGCTGAGGTCTACAGCCATGCAGGGGGCCTATTAGGTCTGTGTATCAGAGTTTGCACGTGTGTATTATAGTTGCAATGAGACTCCCCCCACAGACTATAGAGGATTATATAATGTCCTCTCTACGTGCGTGTTGAAGGGTGCAACATGGTGGCTGGCTGTTGCAGATCAGAGGAAATCCTGCTTAGCCCGTGCCCTAGTGCACAAGTTCAAGTTTGTTTATTATCTTTGCGAAGGGAAAGGTTTATTTACCATCAACCACAATAAAAAACTAAATATTAAAATAATGAAATATGAAAAAACCTGCACTAAAGCAAAGACCACGGGAGATAATTATTTTAAAAGCATTCCTCATCATCCCTCCTGTCTTCTAATGTCCATGTAGCTTATTGTGTATTTTAAAGTATATTGCTATGGGTCTGTATTCCCTCTCCTATTACACTTATGAAGACAGTCATGACTGTACACACACTCGACCCACACCCTTCTGCCCTCTATCACTGGGTGTCCTGTTGTCAAGACCGTCATCAATTTCTTAAAGGGTTGGCATGTGAACAATCACATGTGTACGAGGAACCAGGTGTCACTGTTACAAACAGGGCGTTACACATAAATGAGCTAAAGCTGTCAAACCTGTGACTGAAGCCAAAAAGAGTGCACCTTTAATTACAGTGCACGTAGACAGTGAGAGGTAGGAAGTTCATCATTGTTTTTAATTGTGTGGACATGGATTTTTTTAATATACTGATGTAATTTTATATAAAAATGAGAAATGTTGTTTATACATTGTGTAAAATTAAAAAAAAAAGACCTTTGAAAAGCATCCTACTATATAACACTAGACAAGGCAAGGCAACTTTATTTGAATAGAGCATCACAAACACAGGTGGATTTAAGATGACTCATATAAGGTGAGGAAATGCATTAGAACAACGTAGAACAAAGACATCAAAAACAATAAAATCCACTAAATAAAATACAATTAGGTTGATAAGAAAATAGTAGACCAGAAATACAGTTTCTTGTGCAAAACAAAATGTTAAAAATGAATGCCTACTTAATTTTTTTACATATCCATCTTCTCAAATAAGACAATTTGCTGCTTTTCTCTGCTAATAATTGTGAATTGAATATCTCTGTATTTATAGGAGGCAATTATAATAATTTGCCGTTATCACTATGTGTCATGGCTATTAATAATGATCATTAGTTTGCAGCTCAATGGGCTACAGCACACAATTAATGAGCAGCGGTGCTCACATGTGACATTACTTAAGCAATAATAATCACTTGTAAACTACTGCTAACATGCTGTTAGACCAACGCTGACTCTCAAGAGGGTACCTTTGGTTACCGTTCCCACATTGGCCCCCTCTGAGATTACCGTCTGTGTCCGTACCCCGGGTGGGGGTCTCGGGTATTTATCATCTCGGGCAGCAGTGTGAGGAGGGGCAGTGTGAGCCCCGCAGCGTCACGTGGTCCGCCCTCCTCTCCCGTAAACACCGCGTTCACCTCCGGCTACAAAGAGAGGAGCGTCGCGCTGCTCCGCACAGTCGCGGCGCACGACTTGCTTCTTGTGTTGTTGTGTGTTTTTGTTTTGTTTTAAGCGAGTAGAAAAGTACACCCAGCGAAGGAATATGACTCGCTCGACTCAGATATAACCATTGCGAATATGAATATAGCTAAATGTGTCGAAGAAAGACTCGTAGTGGCTGTTTTGTCTGCCAGCAAGTAACGGGTTGGTGTAATCTGTAGAAGCGAAGCACCGAGGCACCCTTAACCGACACGAAGCTAAATTTAGCGGCAAATCAGACGTGATATTCGGCTGTTTTTCCTCCCCACGGTGTGGTAGTTTTACGAGCAGAAATGGACCGAGGTGGCTGTCAAATGAATGGAGGAGGTGGTGGTGGTGGTGGAGACCACACCGACCAACCCGGGATGATCACACTGGAGGACCTGGAGTCTTTCTCCGAAGACCAGCTGTCAGACTCGGGCAACGGCAGCCTCGAAGAAGAGGCAGAAACCATGGAGGAAGACGACGACCGGCTGCTGCATTACTGGCAGGACGTAGCCCGGGGACACCAAGTGGAAGTGTCCGAAGGTAAAATAAATATTAAAGAAATACCCCGTGACATACAACCTTAGCTAACTTTAAAGGCTTTTGTTCCCCAGCCTCCTTCTTTGAGGTATATGTGTGCACATATAATTTAACTTTTACAGACAAGTAACAACAGCATTGTTGCATAGTTGAGGTACTTTGGCTCAACTTCCTCAAGGCATAGCACTATGTACACTGACCTAGTTTCCAGCGAGAGATAAAATAGTTCCAGCAAGGACAACTCGTTCCCTGTCCCCCAGGGCAGACACGCTTTCATAAAACTGTAGGTTTATCAGACAAGTTAGTGCGTTGTATGCAAAGCAGCAGGCGCACAGTCAAATGAGTTAAATACATAGCATGGAGACAGGTTGATATTTAAAAAGGAGCAGACTGTTACAACAAGGTACAAGAGTTTCTGTGGGTCCCAGAAAGATGAGAAATAATTTAATATCATCATTATTTTATGTTGCAAAATCAGAGAACACACTGCACTGTTGCACAGTGTTATTCTCAGATGAGTTTCTTTATCCCCCTTTTATATAACATAAGTCTGTTGTTAACCGCATGAAAACGAGGAGATCCTCTTAGTGGAAACAATTGGGGAAGTCCTCTGTCACTCTTAACACTGTTGCACAGAAAGCAACAGATCACAAGTTCAGTGAGTTGTTAGGAATATGCGTTGGATTTACTCGCACACTTTCACTCAGATTCATCAGGCATATATGTCGAATACCTGTCTCCTCTTGTAGGTTTGAATATTGTATTAAGACCGTGCAATATCATAGACATTATAATGATAACGATAGTGGAATCACTGCAGAAGTATGGTCTAATACAAAAGCAGTAATAGTACGGTGAATAATATGGTAATACTAGAATTTGTGGTGTCTAGCAAGTAAGAAGCTTAATAGAAATCAAATGATAAAATAGAATATTAGTCATTTATCTAGCATGAATTGACTGGTTTAACTGTGTTGGTAGTTCTTTACGAATTTACTGCAATATGAAATCTCTGTAATTCCTCTTTGGCTTTAATGTTTATTTAGTGATTTGATTATTTCAACCTCAGGATGAAACGAACAAAAAAAAAAAAGCACTTAACAGTAAACACACCGTTTACAGCTCCATTCAACAAAGAGCTGCGTTGTGTTGCTGCAATATGCAAACAAATAACAAACAACAAATAAAATGGGCTGTGATGATAAACATTCATGAGTTTGTATTTACGTGTGTGTGATTTAATTGCAAGCCATCAGGAATGTGTTTAGGGCACTGAAGGTTGAACGGCTTTGCAAACCCTAAACTAGAAAGATGGCCTCCACAACACACTGCCTGCGTCTGACGTTAGCATGCAGCTGGGCGGTCCCGTCGTAGAATGAAAAGTGCAAAGACTGAAGGTTTAAATTGGTCTTCACTGTCTGATTAGAATAAATTAACAGTGTAACTGTTTATTATTGTAAATGTTTGTTGTGAAACCATATAAACAAAGGGGGGAAAACAAAATTATTGAATTCAGTCACTGATTTTTCCTGGGTTCATCTCCAAAGTCTATTCATAGTCCGACATTTTCTCTGGAAAATTGTCAGCAAATATATTTCAAAAGTACCTGAATGTTGTTTTTTTTTTTTTTCACTGATCGATTTTGTCGGTTTGTGTTTACAAACCCAGACATTGTGCTCAGCTAGAGACGACAACAACAGCGGTTGTTTTGAACTCTGGAATCTTCCATGTCGCTGCTAATCACAGATCTGGATACACAGACCAGAACAATGGACCCATTGAGTTTAGCCAAACTTCAACATTTTAATTCCAGATTCACAGCAATAAAATGCTATTTTCAAAACACACGTCAGATTTGTTTGTTTGTGCCTTGTAGAGGACAAAACATTATATAATATCAAAGACCTCTTTATTGGTTCCACTTATGTTAATTAATACTCCTTAGCCAAGTACTATCCACCTGTGAGCCCCACCACCATTTCAACATGTCATGAGCAGTTCAGTGATTTCTTCCCCCCTCAGATTGTTTAGTTAAAATAATTGTTATATGTCTGAAAGGCTAAAAAGTAGCATTTTACAAGAAAATATTAATTATTTTGGGAAAGGGACAAAGAATAAACATTATTTAGTACCAAGTATTTATTTTTAATCCCGTCCTATCCCTTTGAGGGGGTCCTGATTCTAAGTTGGAAACCATCTGGTTAAGCTATTTGTCCAACTGGGTCCTCACTGAGAATCCAGTAACAAAGACTGGCACATCCTCCTTCCTCTGCCCTCAGACCACAGCACTAATTGAGGACTTAATGCAACAAACACTTGCTGGGGCTTTCTGACTCAGGGTGGATTAACTACCTTGCCTGTACTAGAAGCGAGGTTCAACTGCTAAGTCCTGTAGTACAATACTCTAGCTAAGGACACAGGCCAAGGCCACAGTAAACTCCTTTTCTCTAATTGGGATGGAGTCGGATGGACAGGACTGAGGTGGGAGCTCTGCTTTCTTGATTGGCTTGCTTTAGCTAATGTTACATATACAACTTGTCGCTAATTGTTTTTACAGCCCAGCCCTGTGTCACAAAGAGATACCACCTATATTGTTTAAATGGTGTCCAGTCTATACTGTTTTATAGGTTTGACTCTAGCAGTGCAGCTTGTCTGTACTCTCCTGTAGAAGCCCTTTACAGTGCGTAGGGCTTGCATGCCTAATTTTCATGGAGGTCAGAGGAGTAGATACCATCAGCTACTGGGGAAGCATGAAGGGCCTCTAGCTGGTCAACAAGATGGAATGATGTGTTTCTAACTTCACATCAGTGAACACCAAACTGAGAGTTAATGAACCAAATTGACCTCGTCTTAGTCACCCTTAATAATATTGACAATAATCACCCCCTTAGCACACCCGAGAACTAAAAACAAATTAAACCGCAGTGTTCTTGTGCCAAATGACACAAATTGTACTTAACTGCACGCTGATCTTTCTACCACAATAATCTGATGTGATGATACTGACATTTTTCCTTTTTGTAACTGTTTGAACAGATTTATGAAGACAAGCATGGTCTTGTTTCTGTGGTCTGTTCCCATCAATCGTAGTGTTAATAATACAGACCAGTCAGCACTTAAAACCTTCCCACGTCACTTATTGAAGTCAATCAACTGACATTTAATGTGAACCCACGATAGGCCTCAGTTCTTGACACACATGGAGCTCGTCTACCTGGTAGTGAAGTGAATATTGACAGTAGTGCAGTAGTTCTTCCCTACTCTCCCATCTACCCACCTGTTAAACTGTTGTGTATTTTATTGTGTAAATAAGAAACCATAAATAGACTGTACACTCACAACTACTGCCGCTGCTCTACTGGCCCTCTGCTGCACTGTGTTCTTACTTTTGCATAACAGTTTTTCGTTAGATCTAGTCTATTTAAATTTTTAGGAAATGTTTTTGACTAGTGGTTGACTGATATGGGTTTTTTACTGGCCAATGCCAATATTTATCAAAACAAAGAAAAACTATGTATACATTTATTCTGTTCTATAGGAAACTCAGGCCTATATTTACAGCAGGATGCATGAGAGTTATAGTACAGTAACTTTTTCACCACCTTCACCAAAACTCACAAAGCATCGTGCCACAGCAGCCACACTGACAGGGCTACCTGCCGATGTGTCTGAAGACCTTTTTTGACCTCGTGAGCGCAGACAATGGCCGATGCAGATTATCTCTGAATTATGCTGGATAATTGTCCCAATTATAAATAATTTTATATAGATTAATTGCAATTTAATAAGAATATGTCTTGAACCCACTGTTGGAAAGTGGTGTTACTGTAGCATGATGGTCCTCAAGGAGAAGTCTGAACCTCATTGGAAGTGAAGTTGTTGAAAGTGATTATGAAGAGAATATCTCACAATTATGTGTCAGTTTGACAGAATACTACATAGCGGAGCAGAGGTTTGTGGAACAGGAGCCACACTAAAAGCGGGACTTGACTACAGTCCTGTATTGATTAGAAATCTCAAGTACGAAAACAAGTGCGTGTGTTGATCGTTCTACGTCAGTGTTGTGCGGCTCTGGAGGTGCTGCCATAGAAACCGATGAGCAGTGGGTTAAGCTGGTGTGTTTTCTTCCCCTCCATGTCTCTCATATTGAAGACACATATAAACTGAAAGAAAATATTATACTGTCAAATATACATGGCCATTATCCACGCTGAGTCACTCCTAATCAGTCATTGAGACTAGTGTTACCTTCATTTCATGAGATCCTGCTAAATCCACGCGCTCTCACACGCACACCAAACCACAGCAGTGTTCTTTGTCAAAGGATTGATCACCTAAATATCACATCTCTCTGACCCAGTTGTCCTCCATGGTATTGATTGACAAAATGTGATTGAATTGGGTTCAAGTCCCCTGTATTTGACAGTTCAACAATGGAACACAATTCCACTATTTAATCTGACAACATGGGCATCATCATAAAAGGCAATAGGTAAAATATGCTCCAGTATTTCAAAAGCATTTGCTCGTGCTGTAGTTCCGCTCTGTTAATAACAGTCTATACCTGGCCCTGGGCAGCTTTAGTCAGTGTTCTCTCCATCAGCTCCAATAAACATTACACTCTGCGACATCCTGGCACAGTGCTCTGCCCATCTGGCAACCTTTTCCCACACAAACTACCAACACTGCCTGCAGGTTACTGGAAGTGAGTATGTTTTATACAGATTAGAGACAATGGACGGCAAGTGTTGATATGATCTGTGGAAAAGAGTTGTATGGAAGTACTGTATGGATGCTACAAGTACATATGCGAGGCCACACTTAGCTTCTGCTTTAAGGATCGAGTTAATGGCTGAAGAACAATATGCTGCCAAAGATGACAGTTCTTATTTGTTTTTACTCATGCAAACAATACTTTATTTTCTACCCACGGGGTTAAACTGACCACGTATTTTGTCTGTTGACAGATATGGCAGAGCCCATTCAACAGCTAACCAGCAACAACCAAGGACGCAGTCACAGAGAACACGTCCCTTTCACCCTCCTCGCACGCAAAGAGAAGGTATCAATCTGCCTTTTACTACTTTGACCACAACAAATCATCTATATACTTCCAGCCTGTGTAACCCTGTCTCTCTATACGGTTTAGTTTTTCTATATTAAGAGAAGAAAAAACTATCAACCCAATCTTTGAAAAGTAGCAGTCAGAAACCTTCGTCTACATGTTCACGAGGACAGTGAACTGCTGATGCAAGGACCTCATATTAATAGCAACATGTCCAAACTGGGGTAGCTGACAAAGACAACAAGGGTACAGAAATAACATTATGAGATTAAACATTTTACTGGAGGAACAGGCTATTCCAGATCCCTTTTTCTGCTATTCCCGTTAAATTGGATTAAACTGGTTGTTGGTCAATTTTAGGTCAGATGTTGCCTTATATAAAAAATATATAAACACAACATCACATCACATGCAGATCTTCTGTGTGAGTATGGGTCAGCTACTTATTTTCAACAAGATGATCGTGTCACCCAATACAGTAAGCCGCCTAAAGTCCTTAGGGGGCCGTATAAATAAAGAGGGCTAATTGGTTTAACTTGAGTTAATTAGTTCATTAAAACTTGGCTGGAGTCTCCGGTTAAACAAAGGACAACCATGGCACCCTATTCTTAGAGCAGGTTTCAGTCCCTTCTGAAGGACAGCACGTTGACAGTAAGCAGACTTAGAACTTCAGGTCATACACCCGAAGCTGCGGCGGTGACTTTGCGTACAAATATTTAAAAAGAAAAAAGTATTGTTTTCATCACTGATTATACGTAAATATTTATACAAGTTCTAAGATATTAATTTGAAGCACTAATATACCTTGAGGTCATTAACAGTAGGTAAAATAATGTTTACTGACAGTATGTAAAACTTACTGATACAGCTGATTCAACAGGATACAAATCACAGAGAAGCATTAGTAATAGTTAGATTACACCACCTCCCCATGTGTGTGTGTATTCTGTCCAAAGGAGCTGTGTAAATGTGTCACACTTGGAGCTTCATAAGACATGTCACTCGTTGAGTACACTTACAATGCCAAAACACTGTGTGTCTTGAATGATTTTGATTGCAAGTAGCAGTTGTGTGGGATGCACTTCACACATTTGGTAGACAGCTTAGCTTTCCAGTCATTAGTCAGAACATTTTCTGGCATCAGTGCCTTTCCCCAGCTATGATAGCACATGTTACAGTTTCATAAGAAGACGTCATTAAACTGTAGGACTACTCTATTCATAAAATAAAATTGTAACACATTCTTCTCTTGTGCTTTTCCAGTGTGGGGAGCTGTTGTATGAGAAACGCCAGTACGAAAAGGGCCACTGGGCTTGTATTACAATGCGAGAGGACACTTATGAGCAGAGCATCTGCTATGGGTTTATGAGGATAATGAGATACATCTGCCAGCAGAACTCCTTAGGTAAGTCCATGAGCAAGGGACCATTTAGCACACAATCGGGTTCTTCTGTGTTAAATTCCCTGCCTTATCTTTCATTTGCTGATGATCTTCTCCAAGCCTGAGCGGTAATAATTCCATTTCCTTTACATCTCTAGAAGACTACCTGGGCATGACGCTCCCCATCGTCACAGTGGTACGCACAGACGAGACCCACTCTGTGGTCTCCCATGACGTCACAGTGGCGTATTTCCTCCCCGCTGAGCATCAGGCCCAGCCCCCACAACCTGCTGACAGTGAAATCATCCTAGAGATCTGGCCCACCACTACTGTATACACAAGGTGAGTAGAGAATGAAATACAAATAACAAGTTGTACTACTCCTAAATTAAATCCTTATTTTTTTAGCACTAAAGAACAATGATGTTTTAATCAGTGATCAGTGGTGGTAGAATTAGTGCTTGGCCTGTTTTTCCTGCTCGGGTTCAGGAAATAGAAATGTAATGCCTCATACTCATGCACCTCTCCCTGCTTCTTCCAGGCCCTTTACTGGTCCAACCAACGAAGTGACCATCATTGATCAGATCAACGCCCTGGCTGAGCTTCTGGACTCTCCCGGTGTGTGCGTCAACGACTCGTTCATCGTGGCCGGCTACACCAACCCCGCTCACAGCAATCGCCAGAATGAGATCTGGTTCCTGGAGCGACCCTGAGGGACGAGAGGATTAAGCAGCGCTCCTATCTGTGACCCTTGAGCCTCATTAAGACTCCCTTGACACTGCCGCAGCCCAGCTTCAGCCTCAGATGCAAGACCGTCTTTATTCACCACCTCTACCTAAAATGACCACCAGCCAAGCACACTCCAGATCTGTTGGGGCCTGTTCAGCCCTTACTTAACCCTCAGTGAATTTTCATACACGCTAATTTAGATAGATCCTCTTTCACCCATAAGAACTGAACTAAACCACTGCCATACTCTCATGGACACAGAGACCCAGATAGCATTCATCTCCTGCTCTTACATTGAGATATCTAAAAAAAGGATGCCCTCTTGTTAAAAAATTGCAATAGTTTGAACTCTAAGCGCTCTGTGAACGCAGTGACCATTGAGTGCTGTCAGAAACATGCAACAGCCTGTCTTTACACAGCAGAAGCAGGTTCCCAGTAGACATGCAGCCTTATCGATATGCTCAATTTCTGTTTGTTGCACAGCTACAGTGTCTTGTCATGTGGGGTAAAGGTTAATGCACAACAGAAAAAATATGTTTTCTCTGTCATTGTCTAGCTTGCTGAGGTGATTACAACCGTCACTGTTGTTTCACTGTTTCTTTATCTCTGCACTACGTAATCCACTATATGTTATAAGTCACACTGCATAAAAAAACGGTTTTCATTCAACAACAAGTGCATCCAACATCCAGACCAGAACTGGAGACTTCAACCATAAATAAGCTTAACACAATAGGTGACACTAAACTGAGAAAACAAAAACCTATGAACATAGTATGTTCATTGGTGTTTGTGTATGAATGTACAGCTACAGGGAGATGGTTGAAACAAATGTCACACTTCTACAAACCAAACGCTGAAAAACTCATAGATTTTACTGCTGAATGACAATCATGAAGTACTTATATATTATATACATCTTTTTTTTGTTTTCTTAAGGCAAGTCAATGCATTCCTTATGTTTCCTGTCCGTACACACAGGAATAGTTACCTCTGTACCTCTTTCTACTTGCTACTCTGTGTCGATGTTATGAGTATGGATTCACTCATTCAAATACCATTGCTGCTGAGTAGAGACAACCAAGAAAACACATATGAGCACAGAGAATATCTCTACTGTGATTATACTCTTTTTTTTTTTAGAAAGCTAAATTCTGTTTGAGGTCAAACTGTTTTTGTTTCACCAATCTAAAGAGAGTCTATAAAGTAAGAGTGAAAGAAATATGTATGTTTAACTTCACTGTATTTTATGCAACATATACAAAGGGGTATACGTCAAACCAGCTACAGCTAGAGTTCACAGTAATGTAGGAACGTTTCTGCTATGAAAATGTACATTTACTGCTTGGGTGCCAGTGGAAGAAAACTGGAAGTGAACTAGCTAAATCATCACTGTGTGAGGATTTTTATCAGGACAGGGGCATCCTATCAAATGCTTAGGCGTGCAGATATTTTGTGTTCAAATTGTGAGAAAGTTGGTTTTATCTTATTTAATTAATCGAAGTTGTCAGTTAAGAAAGTAAATATTTGTTTGGGATGGTTGCCCAGTATTAAAGCCAAGTAGTTTGGTTGACAAATCCAAAGAATTTATTTATCATTAAATGATTGTAGTCAATATTATACTCTATGACAACTGTAGTGTGTAAACACTTGCAAAGCCATTATACATGTGGGTTGGTTTTCCCTTTAAGAGCCTGGTTGTATGGGAACATAAAGTGTGATGATTTAACTTTTATTTCCTTTCTCTTTGCTTTTTTTTTTTTGTGTTTTGCAAAAGTGTGCTGTACTGTGAAAATTCAAGTGCAACAACAAGAGCTACTGTGGTTTTCTTTGTTCAATAAAAATGTGCTCGTCTCCTGTCTTTTGAAATGTACGGTGCAGTTTTATTGTGTTTATACACACGATACACACGTTCTACTGGGAGTATTACTACAGAAATGTGTTGCAGTAGATTATGTGTTCAGTCATATGGTATGGAGAAGCTCATGATAAATCTCATCCCTTGCTAAGGGCTATCTGAATTATGGTGAAAGAGCCACACAGGCTATTAAGGAATGATATGTGGATATACATGTAGTTAATTTATATTCTCATTAAAGCAACAACTGAGCAGTTCTGTATGAGAGAAATACATTCCAGCTTCCTACTAAAACAGATGCAAGACCAGTGTGTTAGGCTGGTTTTGGCTCTTGTGTTTGTACCAACCAACACATACTGTATACCCACTACAGAATATCCCTAAAGAGTATTCCTTACCTTTTATGGGATCAAATGTGGCAAACAAAACGGGTCACACCCTATTTTGTTCTGAAACATATAGCATAACCCATTTCAGGAGAAGAACTGGTGCTCAGTTACTGGAAAATGGTAACATGATGAATTCTCACAAGAGCACACACACACTACAGTATATCAGACTGAGCCTGTTATACAATATAGTACACTATAGCGTCTGATGGAGATTCAACAAGCTGATGAGAATTAACACTGAGAACAGTTTTATTAGTGTAATAAATGTGAAAAACAACTTGTGTGTTTAAACATCTGCTTTTCTGAAAGCACAAATGTTTTTTCTCTTAGTCATAAACTTGAGCACATTTGTTTAAATAAGTAACAGAAGTTCTTTTTGGACTAATTACTTTTATGTGGAATGGCACTAAAAATCTAAGCCCTAAATTACACCATCAGTTTCCATTACAACACAACTCAGGGTCTAAACTCCATGACAGATATCTCAGCACTTGGCTTGGCCTAGATGTTCACTGATGTTCACACGCATTGTCTATAAAACCACCATCCATTATCAATCAAAATCACAAAGGTGAGACACAAAAAAAACTGTTATTTTAGTGATTATATGGACAAACACTGGTCTGTCACTCATGACTGTGATAAAAATGGGCCAAAAACAGATGGAAAAGCACAAAACAAACCTGTCTGCACGACTGGTTCATTTCTCTGATTTGCTCAAAAATCATTAAATTCCGCCTGAATGACTGCAGCGATGCTCATTTTACACCTGAGTACAATGTCATCTCTATGTTGTGTACTGTCTGGTCGAATTACGGGAGGGCAGTGGGGAAATGGAGGTTAACAAGCGGCATGCAGACGCCATCCGGTCAGGGGGTAATGTGAAGAGGAGGTGAAAAATGTAAGTCAAAGCAATTAAAGAATAAGCAAGAAAAGCTCTATTATTACAAACAATCCAAAAAGAATTAGAGAGTAGAGAAGAAAAGACACAACAGAGCTAATACGCAGCGGCTCTAATCTTTCAACTGCAGGTGTCACATTCCAGCTGTCCAGCCAGTTGAGACAGATGAAGTGTAGCTGCACGTTTACAGTAGAGTACACACAGACAGTGAACCAACCCGTGACAGGCAGACAGCCCTGTAGGGTCCGTTAATAATCCAGAACCTTTTAGTCCACAGACCACCGAGTGTGACAGGATGTTGCTTTCGAAATAAATCAATCCATTTAATATTAACTGACCCAGTAAGAACCGTGCTGCGAGAGGAACATGTGATGCTCAGAAAAGGATTATGCCTGAGGATATTTTTTTTTTTTTTTTTAACAGAAGCAAGCTAAAAGTGACCACAAGGTGGCAGCAAAGCATCAAAATAACTAATGCCACATGGTCTCTATTATGATGAAATCAAACCAATGATATATAGGGGAATGTTTGAATATAAAACTAACTAAAGTTTTAATGCGCTTGTCAGCTGGTGATTTTGAGTATTTGAGTATAATAATAATCTGAGAGTAAAAACATCATGGCCAATAAAGACTGACTAGACAAGTAGTTTAGGTAACAACAAGAAAGAAATATGTTCTTGGTGCTCAGCATTGAATAAAAAAGCAATCTTCTTCACATCCCCTAAACTCTGACTGTAATGTTGGATGTGTATTGTGTGGAAGAAATAAAAGCTGTAAGTACAGGGAGGAGTTCTGCAAAATCGCTGTGCCTACCTGCAGGTAGCGGGTCTGGTGAGCAGACAGGGCCTCACCCAGAGGAACCACCATTTTGTCCACACTACGCTGGTGGGAATGGGCCCGGATGTCTGGGCTCTCGTCTGAACGCAGCTCAATGTGCGAGATGAGCAAATTCGAGATCACCGACTGCACCGACTGCAGGGATAGAGATTTTTTTTAATTGTTGGGTCACATCAGAGAGAAACAACTAATTTTATAGACACATATATTGTATATTGTTCTTACCTTTGTATCTCCCCCTGGAGTTGCACTAAGGGCCAGGATGCGGAACTGGAGAGTCTGGCTGCCGAGCTGTCTGATCACCTGAGTAAGAGGAAGAGAGGCAGGACATTGTTAGCACTTTATTTAAATAGCCCAAATATTTAACTAACTAAAAGTGCTAGAATGCAAACTTAAAGAGGCAGCCCTTGCTAGAAAGCAGAGGTGAGCAGAGCGTGGATATAAAGGATTGTATAGTAAACGATATATGGATAAAATAATGGTAATTTTGGCTACCTGACAATTCACGGAAGCAAAAATCATATATTTTTCCTTGAGCAGCTGTGATCGTTGATTTCCCACAAGGGTCTAGTAGTACAACCTGAGATATTATAGGGATAGCTACCTTGGTATACAGTATTTTGTGAATTGTATCTCTTAAAACTTGCTCCCTTATTGTGACCACAGCCTCCATTTTCCGGAACAGACATCTTACAACCACCTTTCAAGATTATAATAGTGAGTGTTAATTCCCGAATGAATATTTTGAGTGGATTATCACTTCAAGTCACTTTATCGAAGGTTCACAATCCGAATTTGACTCGTATAACCTGAAGATACACCCATCAGTGACAAACCTAATGCCAAGCTGTGCTCATTAGTGACAGGGTTTGTGTACCTGACAGTAGGCATGGTTGCCCAGTGCCTTGTGGGCTTCATCGATCACCACACACTTGATCTGCTGAGCCGGGCAGGTCTCTCTGGACAGATCGTTCACCATGACCTGAGGGGTGAGGAAGAAGACCCGCTTGGTCCTCCACACCTCCTGTCTCTGCTTTGCCGCTGTGCTCCCTGCAGATGGGGACATTCTTGTTACTCTTGTTAATAAAAGCTAAAAGAGGAAACATGAACGTGGTTTTGGTGTCCCGGTTTGTTACCTGTCAGCTCTGCCATGTGCGCCTGTGGGATCCCCATCACTTTGTAACAGGCCTCAATCTGTTGGGCCACCAGTGGTTTGGTTGGAGCCATGAATACAATCTTCCCTGATGGATACCAGCGGTAGAAGTTGTACATAACCACAGAGGCTATAAAGGTCTTTCCCAGACCAGTGGGAAGACACACCAGTGTGTTCTGAAACAGGGCAGCCTCTGATATCTTCAGCTGGTACTCCCTGATGGGGTAGTTGGTGGGGTAAATCCATACCTTAGCCGAGGAGCTGTCAAAGCCAGGGAGGTCTGGATATGTCTGCCCAGCTGACGGGATGGGGGAGAGGGCAGTGCTCTCTGTCCCCACAGGGTTGACATATTGAAATGAGTTTGCATTATCAAGTTGCAGGCTCTTTTCAGCTTCATAAACTGCGACCACCATCAGATCATCGTCGTCATATTCATCCTCATACACAGGTTTAGGTTCCTCTGTCCTCCCTGGGTTCTCTGATGTGTACGTGGGCTCCTGGCCTATCTCAGTCCATAGAGGGTTTCGAGGAGGGTGTTTTTTAGCTACCTGTGTAGTGTTGCTTGGGGCTGTTCTGCGCCGTCCAGCGGCTTTTTTGACATCTTTTTTCGGTTGAACAACGTTGCTTTGAGAAACGGATCCACCCCAAGTCTGAAACAAAGTCCTCTGATTTGAACCACTACTCATTTTCATTAGTTGTGGCGACTAACTTTGAGGAGAAGTGCCGTGTGACGAGCAGCAACATTGCAAACTGAATATACAAACAGGGTCACTTCCGCCGACGTTCTACCAAAATACAACACCACATACATAATGACCGCTCTACCCCAGCGTTATGTCGGTCTTTTGAATGCAGTTTTAACTGTAACGTTTTCACTGCATTGTATTCACGTCGAAATATAAAGCTAAGAGCTAAACCGACACACGTACGTGGTGGAATTTTAAAAGGAGGCTTTTATTTTTTCAGGGTGACACCGGAACAGAATCAAAAGTTCGAGTTCATCTCCCGCTCTCCGAGGCAACGCTGTCATGTTACCATAGTAATGGACAGAAGCGAATGGGAGAAGATACTCACCTGTTTTCAGGTAATTAATGCATCTAATTAGCGTCATTTCGAGTCGTAAAGCACCAAGTTGTGTCTTTATACCGGCACTAATACACAATTAAATGTTCTTTTGCTCTTTAAGCCTGTTTAGCTGCTAATAGGAACTAGCCGTTAGCTACCAGGCTGCTGTAACTATAGTAACTGTAACTGTGTCCTCCTCTGTAGGCATCTGCACGTGGATACTTGGTGAGAAACGAAGTCCGTCGTGCACGAGAAGACTTTGAAGACATCGTGAGAGAGACTGATGGGGGGTTGACTCATTTACAGTGGAGGGAGACGGTTATCCCCACTCCCCACTTCACAGACACTGTAAGTCACTTACACAGTGAGTGTTTAAGATGGTGTGATTGTATCGGATGTAATGCTCTCTTACTCACGCCTCACCAGGACGGCCCGTGTCTGCGACCCTGCAGATCTGAGAGCAAGCCTTCAAATCCAGGACTAGATGTCTGTGACAGTCCCATCGGCCCAGCAGCAGCATCAGAGGAGAGAGGAGGTCATCGTGCTCCGCTGGAGAAGACAGAAGCAGAGAGAGACGATTCACAAGCCGAAGGACGGGCCTCTTCTTCTAAAGACAGTTTCCCTAGCAGCAATGTTAGAGGGGATGCAGAGGGGCATAAAGGAAACAGTGTGGGGGCAAAAGATGGAGGGGTGATGGAGAGCACAGGTGATACCACTGTCTGGAGCAGTTTGGAGCTGGACATGAGCTATGGTCACTCTCACAAAGGTGAGAGTTGTGCACATAATAGTGTTGTTTCCGGTACGTTTCTGTGTCCCCATTTATCGTTTATAACAGAGGTACAGTGTTGTATCTTATTTGGGGCTTCAACTAAAAGTTATTTTCATAATCACTTAAGCCTGTGAAATTGCAGAAATAAAATACATACAGAAAAATACACATCACTATTTCCAGGAGATTAAGAAAGAAAATAATTTAAGAAAATAATAAGTCAGTATAGTAAATCAGTTCATACCTACAGGATTCAGGAACTTGGAACACATGTTGCACTTTTGTGGTTGCAAACAGACTTGTCTCCTGCCCTTCTTGTTCATTTTAAGGTTTGTCCTCCCTCCTTCAGGTCCCCGGCAGTACTGCTTGGCCCAAGAGGTGCCCTGTACCCCGGAGGCCCTGCGTCTCCATAGAAACACCCTGACCATGGAGCTGCTCTGGCTCCAACAGGCCATTGACAGCAGGAAAAAGGTACGGCCGAGGAAGGCAGAGATGTAGTGTTTTCCTACAGTTATTCAGCAGTGGCAGTCTCCTGCTGTAAGAAAATTGCTTCTGCTGCTGGACTAGAATTTATTTAATGACCTTAAAAATAAGTCAGTAAAGTGGATCCAAGAAGCATCAGTTCTTCTAGAAAAGTACTTACCTTGTAAGTATCTGTATCTGAATAATGACCATAGCGTATATGCAGCATTTGTAGCTACTTATTGAGTACCATCAACATGTCTTATACTTAACAAATATGGAGACGGAAGCTGTGTGTACGATTCATCCTGTTATTTTCCCACAGTCTGACCAGTGTACATCAACCTGTAACACTGTTTCTTAGTATGCCTGCACCCTTTGCACTCAGACTGTGTGACAATTGAATCCGTTAATTTATCCTTAACAAAATGAATGTCCTCATGAATCCTGCATCACCGCTTCCATGAATCACCCAGCAGCTCCAGACGGTGCAAAGGTGCCAAGATGTGGAGTGCACACAGAACACTTAATGTAAACTGATCTCTCGAAAGCCGGATATACCCACGCACCATAGAGTTCAATTTTTAAACACAGAAAACCTTAATTAACAAGAAAAAGCTTTTATACTGAAATATACATGTATATGAATGTAATACTTTCCATAACTTCATAATCCCAAACTTTGTTGTCGTTGTTGTCATTCACTGGGAGGTAGCACACTCACAAGGTAAAACTTGGCACGAAAACAAATGTTAAATGATTGTTTTTCTCGTCTTTCTTCCCCTCTATAGTACTTGTCACTGAAGGATAGGCTGAGCGTATCCTGACAGCAGAAGTAATCTGAACTGGACTGATAATGTGAGACTGAAGACCTGAGTGGAACTCAAGTGGCACCGGTTTTATTATTTTATATATTATACACAGTAAATAAATTGCTTTCAGTTGTATTTATCATGTGTTTGGTGACGCGTGTACATTGTGTCTGTTATTTGTTACTGTAAAAAAAATAATAAATTATATTTTTTCTAAAAAGTCTTTCTGCATACTGCTGTTGTTTCCACTGCAGTGGGTTTTGCTGATATTGTCCTCACAGCATAAATTGTGAGAGGTTGAGGTTTTTGCTTTTGTGTAGGAAGAAGGTTCATTCAGTCGAGAATCTTCGGCTCTGAGCAAGTTTGTGTTGTGACACACACAAGCTCAAATTTCCTATTTGGATCACAATGAATGAGCTCTCAATCATCACATGAGGAAATTCTGCCTACAAATATTCACATGACTGTCTCCTATTGAGCTGCTGAGGTCTTTTGGAATTAATGTCATTAGAGAGAACCCACAGGAAAAAGGCTTAAAAAAATCATTGCATTGTCCTGCTATTAAAGTTGCATTTGTTAAATGTTATACTTATCATTTAAGACATTTCAGCGATGCTTCTATCACCTGCTGGTTCTTGCTCTTTGGTAATGCTCAGATGCATGAAGTATGTGGCAGTTATTTTTTTCTGGGGGGGGGGGGTACAGACAACTGAGTGTCGAGGTTATCTTATTGATTCAGCTTACAACACAGCGACCCACCCATTCTCTCCTCCTCTGTCCGTCTCTTTTGTTGTGGTTGCTGCCGATGGTTTGGCCCACAAAGCCAGTCATTGCTGTTACGCTGCCATAGCAACCAGGAAATACTCACCACCGTGTGACGATGTGTGTGTGGTGTTTAGAGGGACTAAAGAGTGCAGAACGTGGGTGCGTGGGAGTCCAGACAGACCACAACAACAGAAGGACTGATTTTCACCTTTGCCTTCAATTCCACTATTTGCTCGTCTTCATCATCTTCAACCAGGCTTGTGAGTGACCAAGCAGTATCTGTGTGGATCAGCGTAATTGTGTTGTGGTTTGTGAGCAAGTGTGACTTAAGTATGTGAATGTATCTGGTGTTGGATATGGTCAGAAAATGCAACTCTGATGGAATGATAATGTACGGGGTGGGGAGAATTACGTGTTGGATCAAACAGACTTTTTTTTTTTACTGTGTGTCTGAGGCAGTAACAGCTGGCTCAGAGATGGCTGCCAGCACCGCAGCCACAACACTGCCTCCAGTGAAGAGTGTGGTGGTGTATAGGAATGGAGACCCCTTCTACAGTGGACGGAGGTTCGTGGTCAACCAGCGACAGGTGGCCACCATGGAAGCCTTTCTGACTGAAGTGACCCAGAGCATCGGTGCTCCGCTTGCCATCAGGACCCTGTACACCCCCAGACAGGGCCACAGGGTCTCAGACCTCGAGGACCTTCAGACAGGAGCCCAGTATGTTGCTGCTGGCTTTGAAAGGTTCAAGAAACTGGAGTGAGTACAAAAGCCTTTTACTGTAATGGTATTAAGGATTATTTTAATGTACAGATGCTCTTACAGGAAGGTTTTTGTCTCTTAAAGGAAAGTAAATGGATTTAGAATGTATCATAATGTACTTTTTGGTATTTGGAAAAGAGATGAAAACACTTTTTTCTTGATCATATCTGTTGTTTTCATGTACAGTTACCTGAACACAGGAATGAAAAAGCATCCTGTTACCCGTGAAGAAACCCAGGTAGGCTTTTATTTTGTAATGTGGCCAGCTTTCTTTTAAGGCCAGCAGCACACTCCATCACTCATTAATCCCAGTCTAACCAGGAGGAATGCACCACCAGGCCGCACTCATATCAAGTTGATCCATTTGAACTGCAGCCAAATCAAAGAGGAAAATGACTGCAGGATTTTCCATTACCGAGACAAGCTCATATTTGCCTGCAATTGTGACGACACATTGTTATGCTAGCATTAGTCAGATTAGATGCACTTTGTGTGTGTGTGTCACCCTTTGCGCTTAACGTTCTCATTGATGTCACTGGTTGTCATGTAAATTACCGGAAACAATGGGCTAATGATTGTGCTGTCCATCAGCAGTCATTCAGGCTTTGCAGGGTGCCCTTTTAAGCATCTCATGGCAATAGTTTCAGTAATTACAGCTGGATATCATCAGAGATCAGAAATTTACAGAGTGTATCAGAGGTTTTGATCGTTTTCATCAAGAAAATCCTCAGAAATCCGAACTCAACTATTAGCTGTTTTAATTGAAGCTTTTTTTGTGCATTGAAAGGCAGGCAGGGCAGGGTGATAAGGATGGTAGTAATATGCAGGCAGAAGCTCTCTTAACGTCCACACAAAACTGATTTCACACACAAGTGCACACACATGGCCACTCATGCTGACAAGTGCTCACTTTGTATTCTGACCAGCTGGCAGGGATGATCGCTTGGTTTTTCAGACAGAGTGTGCTCTTAAGCCATCAGTGTTACTTTTGTGAAAAACATAAAAAAGGAGTGGAGAGTAATTGTGTGTGCCTTGGGTGTCTGCCATTTGGAAAGCTGGGTCTTTGGGTTTTAAAGTCTCACATGCCTGTGTTGTGGTTGCTGTGGAGCAATGCAGGAAGTGTGTCCGTATGCGAGTTGTGTTTGATACCGCTGGTGGAACAAAGAGATATGCTTCAGCACAGTGTTATCAGGGCTGTGTGCATGTCTGGGCAGGCCTAATGCCCATATTCATTGCCCCATGCCTCCTCCTCTGCTCAGAGACACTGTAAATGCATTAAATGTCTGCCAGTTCAAAAAAAAAAAAAAACAATAAGGGAAGATTATCAATGTCTGTTTTGTTCGGAGTTGATTGATTTAGTCCAGCTATGTTATCAGAAAGACACAGATATCGGCTCCAGATTTCATTGATGTGGGTAAAAGCTTCGAGAGGAGCCCTCAGATCAGACACGGCCTGTGAATGTGCCACCGGAGAAGTCTCGGAGTGACGTTAGTTTCCATGGCTGCAGCACTTGAGCTGGCATGAGCAGAATAGTTAGTCAGTCATTTACACTTTTGGAATAAGTGATTTTGCTGTGATGGACGTGCGGCGTAATTGATGTGCAGGACGTGGGTGACTTAAAACTGATGAGGTGATTTTCAATATTGCAGAGAAAATGACATTATGATGTTTTGCGGTACCGTGCGTGTGATTTTCTGAATGTCCTCTACAGGCCAAAGTAACCCAGAGGCCAAATGTCTCAGCCAAATGGAGGAGGTTTATACCTGTACCTTGCATTTTACAGTGAGTTGGACATATTACATGCAAACATACACACACATTTTTTTAAATGGGTATCTTTCAAATTTACAATGCTATGGCTTAAAGGATGGTAATGTCAGATGGTTGCTCGGAGGGGCCATCACTTTGGTCCAGACTGAAGTATCTCAACTACTGAACAGATTGAGATGGACATTATTGTCCAGACAGCGGTTCCCAGAGGGGGAATCCTAATGACTTTGGTAATCCGCTGACATTCCTTTCGCATGCCGGTTTACATTTGTAGTTTTGATTGAAATGTCTCCACAACTAAATTTGGTACCCATGTTCATGTTCCCCTCAGGAGGAATTGTAATAACTTTAGTGAACCTTTGACTTTTCAGAGCTAGCACTAGCATGACTGCAGAGTAAGGAAACACTGTCCAGGGAAACAAAAATAAGTTTTGCAGTAAAACTTTGGAAGATACCCTCTTGATTTTTTATTTTATTGTAGAATTCATTTTTCCACAGAACTAGTAACATCTCTTACACTGGAATAACATGAGGAAACCAATCATATGTTTCAGTGTACATATGGGCATGTATTATTTAGGACAGAATTTCAAACCCAGAACCAATCCTTTCTGTTCAGTGTTTTCCGTAACGGAGATCTCCTGTGTCCGCCATTCCGATTCATCATTCCTCGGAGCATGCGGCAGGACCTGGAGCAGATCCTGAGTCTGGTCACAGAGAAGGTCAGCTTAAGAACCGGAGCTGTGCGCAGGTCAGTGACACTGACTGATATCCACATACACCCTGAGGAACACAAATTGAGAGAAATCCAGTAACTATAATATAACCTCTGTGCTTTCCTCAGGTTGTGCTCCATGGAAGGAGCAACTGTGTCCTCAGCTGTTGAGCTGGAGTCCGGCCACTACTATGTTGCCGTGGGAACTGAGAGGTTCAAGAAACTTCCATATGTGGAGCTGTTGGTTTCAAAAGTTACAGAGAGGTATTGTCATGCACGGCCCTCTGTGAGTGTGTCTTAAGAATGTGTGTTTATGTGCATCTGTGCTGTTCTGCTCTCTGACTGACTTTTCTTTCTTTCTTTGTAGATATTACCCAGGAAAGAGAAGGCTGTTAAGGAGAAATGAGGTACCTTCAATTAGTAGTGTAATTTACTCACCTTACTTTCATGTCTTAAAATTGCAATCTTAGCGTCGTTACTCTGCAGCCTACAGCAGTAACATGTGACAGCTGCCTTGTATGTGTCTGTCTGTGTTTCTCCTAGAACAGGAAAGCAGGAAGCGGTCCAGAGGACCAGTACAGTGACTCAGCTCTCCTCGACTCCCCCGAGGTAAAACAAGCAATCCTCCAGTCTTGCATTCACACCACCAGAGCTATATTGGGACTGTTAATTGTTTTCTACACTGCCAAACACATTCAAGTGAGACAAACTGTGCAGAGGGTGTGTTTTTTTTTGTCAATATGTAACACATATTTATTCGGTTGTATCCTGTGAATTTCAGTCCGACGGTCGCAGGGTGAAGTCGACAGGAGATGAGGCTGCAGGTCCAGCAGCCGCACAGCAGAGGAGCAGGAGAGAAGGAGCAGATGAGGCCTCTGCTTTCTTCGCCAGGCCCGTCAAGATCCGCAACAACAACCGACGACAGCCAAGACCCCCACTCAGCAATGGAACTGGTCAGTGTGCCCAATTTTATATATCTTACTTCCTTGTGTACACAATGAGTGCAATTCATTTTGTGTTACAGCAGCAGCTTTTTTTTTTTTATTTCTGCTTATTACAGTCCAGCCCAGCGTGTTTAAGAGAGCGGGGCGGAAGAGAAGAGAGGAGGTGCGAGGGGCCGAAGAAGTGCATGAGGACGAAAACACAGCTACAGAGCTTCCTGTTGACCAGGTTTCAGCCTTATTACTGCGTACTTCTCATCACTGAAGGAGGTACACTGATTCCTGAAAATATGTTTAGAGCAAATTGAAAGATGTCTCTCATTTTCCATCCAAAGAGAGCTGCAGAAATAGTGGAGGACGAGGAACTAAACAACCAGAATGACCCTCTGCACAACACACAGCAGGTAGGCATCAATCAAACAATTTTTTATGTTCCCATTTGAATCTGTTTTCTGTCTTCTTAGTTAAATGAAAAAATACCAATACTTTCCCATTCCTTCACTCTCAACTACAGCGTAGGGCAATTTTTCTACATAACTGACGGACACTGAGGGTGTAATTTAGAAAATGATCAATTTCAGAAGATGGATCCATGATTGTCTGGAGGAGAAATTCATTTACGTATTCATGCATTTAGGCGTCCTTTTGTAAATTATAGTCTACACAATTGAAAGTTGAAATGTGAGTGATGAATATGTGACATTAAAGGACATATTTTCATCCGAAAATGGAAAACGCCTCATCTTTTTGAGTCCAGAAAGCCATTTTATAAATTCCTGCGTCTAATACACAAACATTCCCTATAATTTCCCCTTTTGGTCTATTTCTGTCTATTACTATCCTGGATGTGTTAAAAAAAAACACATTAAATTACATTAAATCTGTTTTTCTCAAGAGACACGCACAAATTATAAAGAGGGAGCAGCACAATGAGGGAGAACACCTACACAAACACAATGGAAAGCAGGTACAGTATATGTGAGTGGGTGGTTAAATTTACATAATCATATTACACGTGTCCTAATAAAAAGGTTCCGTTTTTTTATGTTTAAATGGGTTCAGAATATTATTTTTTTTGTCCCGTAAAAGGCTGAAGAAGATGGTGTGAAAGAGACAGAAACTTCTGTTAGGGATGAGGAGCCTGCTGCTGAAACACTGGTACAGTACACACACCTACACAAGCTGCCAACTGCTTAGGACATTGTGAAACAGCTTACATTGAGTACTACAAAAACGTAGTCAGCAATCAATGTGTCTCCGTTTTCTAAAGGTGCCTGAGCTGAATCAGACGTCTATGAAGGCACAGCCTTTGTCACCCACCTCTGAAGGAAAGAACAGGGAAGAAAAGGCAAGTTTACTCACCTCACATTATAAAACAGTGCTTGATGAGTTCTTGGCACCCTGATGAAAGCATGCGACTGCTTTTTCTCTTACGCTGTTTTAATAATTTGATTGAACAGGAGAGCGCACAGGACACCCCTTCGATTGCAGTAGAACAGAACCATCACCAGGAGTGGTGAAAGAGCACATTCATCAAGGACCATCGCACAGGCACGACAGTCACACAGGCGAAGCAGATAACCCAGCCATTACTGCTTCTATAATGACCTATTCGGCTAAATGAATGTTTGATTAAATTGGTGTGACTTAAACTGTGGTAATAAGCCAAGTAACAACATTAATTTGTGTCAAAAAATGTGAACACTCAGACAAAATAAGAACAAAACACTTACAGGAGATGGACACGTCATCATAAACTCTAGTACGATACAATCCACGACAGTCTTCTGGCATCATAAACCTCACAAAGGTTGCGTTTGTTGTGTTTTACAGCAGTTTATGATATTGTGTCCAACCTGTTCTTCAGTTCTGATGCAGATATTGTGTAGATGATGCAACCTATTCCATGTATGTACATACAAAACAATATTTTGGGGCATTTAAAGCGTGAATGTATTCTGATTTGCAGAAATCAATGATGGAGACAATAACACAACGAGTCGTGTTTAGCCAACAATTTATTAATAAAATATCAGCCACATCACAAGCTGAATAGATGCAACAATAGTAAAGTCATCTGTACAGTGTTTTGTGTGAATTAAATACTGCGAGAATAAAAGATATATATTACTATGTACGTTGCTGTTATTTCTATACTCTCAACAACTTGTTCAGATGTTTACAGTGCACACAACAAGGTCACTCACTCCTAACAACTAAGTCCTTTCTTCGCAAAAGAACATTACAAAATAGCAGTGGTATATCGACCTCAGTAATACATCATTTATACAAGCCAGCAGGGGGAGAAGGAGGGCCAGAGGAAAATAAGTATGAAAAACAGCTTTATGCTCGAGCTATACAGCAATTTGTCCTCTCCTGTGTCCTGTTCTTCCCCAAGCAGCTGCAGTAAAATGTCCCTGTTAAAACTGGGAGGTTAGATCTAATTGGTCCATTTCAAACCCCCAGCCTTATTTGTATGTGGCCTCTATAGCATTTATGCAGATGCCAGTCACATGGTAGGGCAGCAGAGTGCTAAAAGTTAACAACCGCCAACTTCTATGCAAGTGCCATAAATCTAGTCTAGTCTTGAGGTGAACCCCGCATGAACCCACTTCCCCTTCAACTTGGTGTAAGAGTTTCTGGACAGGTCTTTTGAAGCTCACGCTGAGTTCATTTAGGCACGATTCTCCCACCAGAACCGTTGCTCTAAGGAGTCGCCGTCTGAATCTAAAACAACCCCCTCTTGGTCTGCTCCGACTCTGCTTCTGCCTTCCTTTCCTTTCCTTTCCTTTCCTGCTGAGGAATCACTTGAAGGCGTAGGAGAATTTGCTTTAATCCTGATTTGGGTTATTGTTATTGTACAGCCTGCGTCATATTCAGCTTCCCAGAGTCTTTGTCAACAATGGAGCTTATAACACACAGAGTGATGCCAGCCATGGTGAGGAACATTCCCGTGACAGCCTCTGCAGAGAGTGAGGGGTGTGGAGGAGGATATGAAAGAAAAGGAAAGTTTAAAAAAAAAAAGCAGCTTTTAAAAAACAGAAAGCAAGCAGTACTGTATTTTTCAGAGAGCGGAGAAAGGCACAGGAGGGAATTAACTGCTCAATAATGTCCTGGCATGCAAGTAAAGTAATGTATTGCTTATGTAACAGTACTAAATTGGTCATCAGCATTTTTCGGATCCTACATTTGTCCTCGTGGGCATTAATATCAAATGCTGCGTGGCCGCCTCTTTACTGAACAGCAAGCTAGTTTGAGTCTGAGTTTCACGAAAATGAGTCACTTACGTTTGCCTCCAAACTCTTCACCCAGTAACTTGCCAGTGAGCAGAGTGCAAAGGAAGGTGAGAGAGTTGGCAACGGGAACTGCGAGCGATAGCTCTGGATGAGAGAAGTGGAGAAAATTGGATTGAACATTCTGCTACCAAATTAATATGCAAACCTGTGTGTCCTGCTAGACACAGACGATGCAAATCTCTGTACAAAATGAATCGGAAATTGACCTGAAAAGCATGTTGTGCTCCTAATGAAGACTAATGATTAGTTTAAATAAAACCCAGGTCGTGCATATTAAAGACCCACCTTTGTAAATGGATATGTACTCTTTGAAATTCGGAGAAATTGGTTGTTACGGTCTTTTTTAAATGTTCACATGCAGTAATATCAGTTCTTTATAATGAAAGCTGCGGTTCCCTAGACCAGGATCTATTTTTATAATGTGTATTGGCATTACCATTATAGTAAATTCAAAAATAATTGTAGGTTCAATAACCTTGGAGGTAGTGTTTTAACTAGATTCCATTTAGCTGTCTAAGCATGCTGGCTTGTGGTAAAAACACATAGTTTAAGCCTGCAGCAGTTCACTTCCACCATAGGCCTTTCTCCCACAGGACATTTAGACATATCATAAGGGCTGATTCCATTTAGCTGCTTCAGTTTCAGGGGTCCCTGCATTGCGCACACTGGCTCACTGTCACACTGTGAAGAGTTGCCTATGCATTCCTGCTATGACAAGTCGTGTCTGCTGTGAATGCATTTTGGCTTGTCATAGCAGGAAGTGTAATTAATAACACTAATGTGGGCTGCGCTACATTTAGATTAGTCACTTCCAGGCTTCTCTTACAGTGCATACTGTCTCACAGGGAGGATTCACTGGCACACTCTGAGCTATTGTTCATTTTATTAGCTACACCATGTCTTCTTGTCCTAAGATAAGATAAGATAAGATAAGATAGACTTTAATGATCCCACGCTGGGGAAATTCACACATAACAGCAGCTCCAGATACAACACAGCAGATAAGAAAAACAATTAAATACACATTACACAACTAAATAAACATACAAGATATAATGAAAATAGAAAACAATATGTACACTATATACAGCTGTTGTACAGATGTGATGTAGTGGCATGGTGTAAAAATAAATAATTGCACAGCACATTAAAATCAGCCTTTCACTGTGACTTGTGTACAACTGAATCTATTCTCTCCTGTAGAAGCTATAATGTGGATTGCTCACCTGTGGTGGACAGTGTGTAATAGTAGACCAAAGAGCCACTCTGGTTAAGCAGAAATGGGACCAGGTACTGGGCAGCAACACAAGGAGAAAGGTGCAATTAAAATCGGTTGTACTGTACACCTGTACACCGGCAAACAAGAACGGGTCTTAGGATTTACCTTGAGGTTTAAGAAAAGAAACTTGAGCTCAGCCAGCAGCTGTGAGAGCCTGTTGGTCTCGGTCACAGTTTCTATCCCCTCTGTGCCTCTCTTCAGGAGCGGGTTGCTGCAGCCCCACAGCACCGACACCAGCAGCAGACTCAGCAGCTCCACTGTAACACACGTCCAACACATACATACATTCACCCTGTGCCCTCACATCCAACACACATACGCTGCTAGCATTGTTATATGACACCGTGTGTTTACCCCGGACGAAGCAACCGGATAAAAGCAGGGCAAACTGTAAAATAGTGCAGTTAGCGCCTGAGCTGAAAACAAACTAACAGTGAGCGAGCTGACTTCCTTAGCATTAGCGCTAAGATGTTAGCTGTGTTTGGGTTTACGTCTGTGTTATTCACGCTAAAAGTAAGCACATACTGAGGAATATATATTCGATACCAAAATACAAAAGCTATGTTATAATATTGGGAAAATCATACTTTTGAGAGGATAAATTAGCTTGTTAGCCACTCACCTACGGTCACCATCGTAAACAGGTTTAAGGTCACATTCAAGACTGGTCTTTAGCTCCGATGTTAGTGAACAATCCTTAAATAGACAGTTTCAAAACCTATTTATTCAATACATTTATTTTATAATAGGTTCAATTACAACTGATTCAAATAAAATCCAGCAACTGTACGATGTTATGACGACGCTCTCATTCGTAAACTGAACATTTTGCAACATTTCTTGTCTTGTTGAATGCAGCTTTAGGATTTTTTTTGTTTATATTGTCGTACCAAAAGACACCAGCTGAGGGCGCAATAACTTGTTCAACACATTGGTTTAGCAATAACTAAAAGCACATTTACAACATTCATCTGCAGTTATTGACGTTCATTTAAAAAAATAATGAACAATCTCATTTATTTATTTCTGTTTTCTTTAGGTTTTTGCTCACTTTGAAGTCTCAAATGATTTTAAACTTCCTTCCTTTCATATCATTTTGTTCTCTGTGCAAATGACACTTGATTTAATCAAACAGGTCAGCCACAATTAGAAATATTAAATTTTATTTTCATCTCATTTTATTTAACCACAAACAATACAAATACAGAGAGCAACGGAAATAAAGTGCAAAATCCTTTGGCGTCAAACTAAAAAGGATTCACATCAGCCTGTTAGGCTGACACCCAGATGTTTCACAAAACATTTCTGTGGTGTCTTCGTTATACAAGGTAAAAAAACAACACATTTTATATATTTCTGAAACAAAACCTAATCTGTGATCAGAAGACAAAGACAGTATAATGCAAGGTTAACCAGATTTTGTAAGGAATATTGTTAAATCTGCAATATCAACATATTTTCCTCAAACGCAGCTTCTTTCATACTGTCTTTGTCTTCTCTGAAGTTTAGACTAATTCTACATTTACTCGTGAACCTATGTGGTCCTCTTTAATACAGAAATGTACACACTTAATAGCAACGTTGTCAAGCCATTACTGTCTTCACTACACATTTTCTTCATTGAATTAAACAGTAAGAAACGTATGGCATCTACACTCTGAACACTGACTGTAGCCAAAAGCAAGTCTTCACAAGAGTCTCCGTTTTCTATCACGCAACATCCTTCATGCAGTCCCTGGTGTCTGTTTATGTTATGTACCGTTTTTGTTCACGATGTGTATTTTGCACACCAAAAGGACATCTTGTTGTCCGTGTAGTCGCCAGCAGTGGCTCAGTTGTGACAGTGAGAAAACACTGACGTCACAGATTGAGTTTCCACAGGATTCAGTCAGCACACAGCACGCAGCCACGGACAAAGACAACACATCAGTCAATGCCTGTTGTGAGGCTAAACCACAGTTCTGTTGTTATGTGTTTTCTAATAATAACGGAGCGCCGTGTATGGTGACCACGGTGGATCCACTGTTGGTGCTGGACTGCTCTATGTGGTTCTCCTCCACGCTGTTCAGCTCAGCCCTGGGCAGCCGGAAGCCGTTCTCGGAGGCTGGGTTGGAATTGACAAGGCTGCCCGACACAGAGCTGATTCCCATGGTGCTCAGCGGCATGTTGCTCTGAACTGTGGATTGTGACAGTTTCTGACGAGGTTTGGAGCCATTGGTACCCAGGACTCTGGACACATGTGTCCGCCTGGCAAGAATTAAACCATGATGTTAAACAACAGTCTCACTTCACTCACATACTATGCAGTAGGCTATTATTATTCTTATTCTTATTATTATTATTTAGCAAAACAACATTTGATATCCAGTAATAGTGCTCTATAGGGTGTGTTCAACAGTTCAATGGTTTATGTCCCTTCTAGAGATGGAAATTAGCTGTAGCTATAAATCCTGTGATATATTGCATAGGATAATTCTAATGCAACTCTCTATGTATACTGCATATGTCCCTATCAAATAAACATTAAATAAATGAAATGAAATATAAATAGGTCAGATATTCCCTCTAGCTGTGTAATCGTATTTTGCTAGTAGGTTTATTACATCAACCACTAAAGGTACCAGGCGCAGTAGTCACCAAAAAAGAGGCAAAAAAGTATTTTTTTAGTCAAAACTATGAATAAGCAAGAGAACCCATTACTTTGATGAAGTTCCAACCTTTTTGGCTTATGTCCCCCAAAAATGAAGCAATGCCTACATATGACCTCTCATCACTTCACATCTCATATCAATCTCAATATGTCAATTAGCTGTGAGCAGTTCATATATTTTTGTGTAGAAGACGTGCTTTTAGTTATCTCCTCCTGTTCATTATTTTGTGACCCCCACTGGTTTCTGGTACGACCCCTTGGGGGGTCCCCACCCTCAGGTTGGCATTGGCTGGAAAACATTACAAAGTTGCTTGACTCAAATAATGTAATTAGTATAATGCCTAATAGTTGTATGTCAGAAATATTGTAAACATTGTGTAATACTGGATCGTTTTACCTCTAAAAATAATTCAAAAAACAATCTAAAAAGGGAGAGTCATGCCGAAAGGAACAGGTCACATATGTCCAACTCATGGACACGTATACCTGTGAACTGGGGCTGTGAGTAAGCGTCACTTTAAAGGGTCACAAGCTAAAAAAAGTTACAAACTGTAAGATAAAGGATAAAGGAGCCTGATCAGCCATTGAAGTGGATAAAAAGAGTATGATTGTTTGTTTCATGGCTCGTGACATTCACTATGCAGGAATTGCCCTGTCAAACAGGAATGCGTCCCTACCTATTGTATGTCTTCAGGATGATCAGTAGAATGGCGAGAATGATGATGATACCTATAACAATGACCGCGACCATCGCCCCAGAACCTGCGAGACACAGAGAAACAGGAAAAACAAAAAATTTACATGTTTTTAGGGTTGGGTTTTGCATGTTACATTTGGCAGGTTTCACACATTCCCTTGGCTCCTCGCTGTGCAACTTATTTTGTCTGTCCTGCAGAAGCAGTGTGTAGCTTAGCAACGGCATCACTCACAAGCAAACAGAACATGGCAAATATTTTAAATGCAATGGGTGCCACTCCTGTACAAACCATCTACATTATTGACTGACTGCATGACGCAAGAGGTTATTTATGAGACTCGACTTATCTTTGATGTTTATTTATTTCAATGTCTGCCATAGGGGGACGCTTAGATCTGATAGTGTCCACAACAAACATGTCATTCACAAGGGTGTGTTTTGTCGATATCCAATTGAAGAGGACGAGGAGGACAAAACACGAACAGGAACACAATGCAGGCATGCACCCACACACACACACACTTGACATATCCTTACTCTGGATGAGTATTTGTTCTTTGGACTTTGTGACGTTGGTCGTGTTTGATAGGAGTGTAGTGTTGGTCACAGGTGAGACAGTTGAGGCTTGCATCTTCAGCAATAACCTGCACAGACAAACAAATAAACAACAAAAAAAATCACTTATTTAGTCAACTGAATATTCTCTGATAAAACAGAACAGCATTTACGTGAGTATTTTAAAGGTTAAAACTGTTTCTGCCTGAGTCACACTACCGATTAAGTGACCCAACAAGAAAAGAATGAGGAAATAATATGGGAATAGAAGATTAGAACAACTAATATAAACAACAGTGACATAGCAGAGGGAGTGGCATCAATGAATAAACCATCTAAAGAAACCACAGGAATCAGGATCCTCAACTTGACATGATGTATAAAAATCAAAGCGGGACATGCGCTAATGTCTACATCATTAAATTGCAGTGACAAACCTCTCCCCATACGACTGACCTGAAACTGAATGGAAACACGCAACTGAGCAGCTCGCTGTTTGCTCTTTATCAGCTGGTTCTGAGATCACACAGCAGGTTCAGACATTATTGTCACGCCTGCTAAAGCTTTACAAAGACATTTGTGGTTTTAGATTTGAGCCAGTACAGACCAGGAGGTAATGTTCAGACATGTTGGATAAGTATGTTACAGCAGTGCTGCAGTGCTGATACAGTTCTTGTTTGGGGGGGGGGGTAAATTGTTTTTAATTGTTTTAATGATGTGGGAATGTGTGTATTCATAACTTTTGTAATTGAAATTTTGCATAATTGTGAATTTAGTAATTGTTTTTAATTCATATTGTATGTTCCATTTACCTGCCCAGGGACTACGGGTGGAAAATAGCAATTTGCTAAAACCCGGTGCAATGCATCTCTCCTTGTTATATACAGGGTTAATGTTTTATTGTGCACTGTCCCTGTTCAAATAAAAGAAATAATAATAATAATAACATATACATTAAATATGTCCTATTAAATCATTATCTTATATATGATCTTATATTTCAAGATTTGTTAGAATTACTCAGTAAATGGTGTTTCCAATAGGGTTTAAGCAATAAGTTAAGAGAAATTAGGTTATAGGTAGGTCAAAAACTGTCTGAATTGATGAAATTAAATGATCAGTACTAACAAGTCTGTGTAGTAAAAGTCTAATATCACTTATTCCTCTGTGTCATAGATCTCAATTGTTGAAAAACAATTAAAAACACATCAGTGGCACACATGTTTGCACTGGGTGACATATTCATTTTCACAAACATGGGCATTGTGGTTTATTTTAAGTATATTCCTCTTATGTCTTTCTGCTGCAAATGTATTACTGTTGTCATAGAATTTGTTGACAATAATAAATAAATAGATATTTTAAATAAAGATTTTTAACTATCAAAAACATCTTTCCTATGCATCGGTCTGCAGTTAATATTAAATTCAGTCTGTTCAAATGAACCCTATAATGGAACTTGATAAACACGTCCTAATATAAAGATGTGTTAATGCGGTTTGTGATTTCTCAATCATGACTCATTTAATCAACAATGCACATTCTCGGGGAGTTTCAGGGAGACTATTAGGGCAGCTCCATTGTGTTTTTATGTTTTTATCTCGATCTAATCTACTGTATTGCAGTTGTTATGTGTCACGCGGAGATCCTCTGTCATTTAGGAGGATGCCTGATACTGTTCAGGAAACAATCCACACACGGCTGTAGGTCAGGGCTGTCCCTGTTACTGATACTTCCCCTGAGTTGGGATAACATGCCTTTGCATGCTCAGAGATAGAAAGCCACGCAAACTTCACACAAAATGATAACATCTGCAGTCAGTTTGTTTTTAAATTATATAACCAAAACAATAAATTATGATTATAGGTAGCCCTTGTTTTACAGAAGTCACCTGCACTTCAGTTTCCACTTCTACCACTCTACAGCTACACACACGTCATCATGGGAGTTTCTCGCCCTCTTTTCACGTAGTGTGACGTAAAACAAAGAGCACATAATGAGTCATTCAAGAGTGAGTCAGAGAGGTGGTCATTAATTAGAAAAGCTTAATTTTAATGATCATATTTGATTATATCGCCTGACATGTCTCCCGAGAATATAAAAGAATTGAGTCTATCCAAAAATACCTTTCGTTATGTTTTAGCTGGCGGGTTTGTTAATGTGCGGTCAGTTATCCTTTTGTTCTTCGTGACTAGTCTTAAAGTCATGCAGTGTGTTAACGTATCATTTTGTTAAACTGTCAGAGAAATTATAGGCTCTACATGTGCGTCTTATTTTTGGAACAAAACTTCTTAATCATAGCAGACAGATGGAGAAAGAGTCATCGCATTAAACCATTTCTACAATAAAGACATGAGTTGGAGTGATGTTGCACTGTGTCTGCTGGGAGTGAAGCACAGCAGCACGATCAGTACAGGTGCCTCAAGCGGACAAAATTTGCATCAGCTATAAAAAGCTGGAAAACCCGACACAAGGAACAGACACGTACACACACACACACACACACACACAGCACCCATCCCTCGCGTCTCTAGGTTAAATTAACTGCTTTATCGATTACATTCAAATTCCCAAGACAGTTATGCAAAAGCCATCGCTGCCTGTGAAGATACCGCTGAATGTCATTAAGTTTAAAAACCACCAGTTAAATTAATGAGAGGTGGCTGACAGACTGGTGTCACCCTTAAAACCGCTAACTTGTTAAGTTGATAAGAAACCACAGCGTTAATATAAAAAAAGTTAGTCATGTTAGTAAAATGCTAGAGATACAGCAGACCTATACTCACACGAAAGAATAAAATATCACAGACTTCACTGTTACATTTCAGGTGTGAAGGTGGTGCCATTACAAAGAACCTGTCATTATCAATGAAAAGGTAGGAGTTCTGAATAACACGCACTCACACACTTTCTCTCCTCTCTTTCACACACACTTTCTATACTTCCAACATTTTGTAAAAAAAAATACGCTCATTCGCTTTCTTTCAGAGCCACTCTCATGTTAGTATGGTAAATGTGAAGCTACAGCTAACAGCCACTTAGCTTAGCGTAAAGATTGGAAATGGGGAAACAACTACCCTGGATCTGTCCAAAGGTAACAAACTAGCAGCACCTCTAAAACGGGTTTTTGACTAAGCAAAAACCATAAGCATAAAAATACAAATTTGCTGGTTAGGCTGGATTTTGAGTAATTTGTTGCTGTTGGTAGAATGGCAAATACTTGTGAACGCTTTAGTTTTTCTACAGATTCAGTAGGCAGATTAAGGCAAGCAGTTTCCCCTTGTTTCCAGTCTTTTTGCTATACAATTCAATTCAATTCAATTTTATTTACTTTTCTAGGCCGTACTCTAAAAGAGTACAATTATAAAGGAAGAGACCCAACAGTTCCCACCATGAGCAAGCACTTGGTGACGGTGGCAAGGATCAACTTCCCTTTAAGAGGCAGAAACCTTGGACAGACGAGCTAAGCTTAGCTAACTGTTTAGCCGCTTGCTCCAGCTATCAATCTTCTCATCTGACTCTCAGCAAATATTTACCAAAATGGCGAACAATTCTTCTAAAACATGCTTTCCTCATTTGTATACATGTTTTTTTAATGAATGTTATATTTCTTAACTAGTAAAGGTTGTAGCCTGCTGTTGAGCAACTTTAGTTCAGGCTATGAGATTAGATTCTTGGCTCCTTTTTGTATGATGGATCTGGATATTGTATTTCAGCGTGTAATGTATGGACAAATACAGTGGCTTGTGTACACAGCCTTTAACCATTAATGGAGCGTAAAAGTTTACATTTCACCTCCAAGCTGTGCATTTCCTGGAGGCATTGCAAGAGGACAATTTACAACCCCATACATGTGACACTCATCACCTGGGACACCTAAATGACACCAATGTACAGAGACAAAGACAACACTTGCCTGTAATGGGGTCAAGATTAGATAGAAAATACTCCACAAACTAGGGCTCTGACTGTTTCTCACCCAGATGTGATAGAAAACCAAAAAGAATTTTAATTACATGCTGACAACAGAGACTTGAAGCCAGTACCCGATACTTGTGTGCGTACTGTACGTCTTATCCAGCTTCCTGCTCAATAGCAAATATTACATAACCAACTCTCCCAGTGTTGACATACTATTAGGCACAGCGATTAGTAACGACATATATCATGTTTGCTGTTTGCAGAGGTGACAGCTTCTGATAAGTGGCTAACGCTAAGGTTGGAAACACCATTGCTTTGGTAACATGGTGGACAATACAGTATTTAGCTGATGTTGGCAAGGTTACGTAACAGTCAAGTTAGTTTTATTTATTTAGCACTAAAATCACAAATTTGATTTTACCTGTGTTTGTTGTTACAGTCAGCTGTAGTAAATATGAATACATACAAACTGAGATTTAACAGGGTAAATGTGGTGTTTAAACAAAAAACCCAAACAAACACAGAGATTGATGCAGGAATAAAACAAAACACGATAAGACATCAGTTTTCTACACAGCACTTCTACACTCTACCCTTGCCCTGATAAATGTATGTACACAAGATGCATATTGTACCTGTATTTGGCTGATTTCAGTGATGGAATGTTGTTTGGTACAAAACAGAAGTATGTTCAGCAGCTCAAGCAAGTCTAACAAGAAAAAACAGCACAATACTTGATCATCATTGAAGAGAGGTGCAGGTAATTTGCTCATTGACAGTTCGTTTGTATGTACTCTCTTGTACTGGTATGTTCATATTAAAATAAATTCTTGTTGCTGCATTAAAGGACCAGTGTGTAGGATTTACTGGCATCTAGAAACTACAGAGGCCACAAAATTCACGATAAATGAGCCAGTGTTTGGTTTGTGCGTTTTGGGCTACTGTAGAAACATGGTGGTTCATAATGGCAGCCTCCGTAGAAGAGGACCAGCTCCCTCTGTAAATAAAAACAGCTCATTCTAAGGTATTGAAAACACAACAATTCTTATTTTCAGATGATTATACACTAATAAAAACACATCTATAAATATCATATTGCATTTCTGCCAATAGATCCTGAATGTTACATACTGGACATGTAAAGGATGACAGAACAAGCTATCCAATAAGGATGTTTCAATACACGCCCCCTAAAATGATCTGGAAACTAGCCTTTAAACGGCAGTTTTGATTGTGTCAATAAATGTAATTTGACTTTGAGCTGCTCATGTTTTGTGTGCTGCGTTGTAGCCACAGCGGCAGTGATGCCTCTGCAGTGGGTTATTGCTATCTCCTAACAAAAACTCTCTTGTCCAGGACGACATGATTCTGCCGGGGATCAGAGTACAAGCTCAAGAAAAGATGAGGAGTGAGCAAAAGATAGATAAATAGGTAATCTTCATTATCCGAGGAGGAAAATTAGTTTTCATCTTCTAGCAAAACTGGGTTATTAAAAACTTATCTGTCAACATCAAACTGCTGCAGCAGCACACAGTTATTATAACAGAACCAAATATTTAATTCATATTGTTGACTAAACCACTTTTTTTATTAGTACTGGCCTCTTTATATGTACAGAGATGTATTAGTGTTGCCAACTGTTGCCCTGGCTCATGGCGGTGTTTCATCCATAGTGGGTGGCTGTGTTAACTTCAACAGAACGGAGTGTGTCGATAGAAGTGGGTGATGCACCAGATTGATTGCAGGTTAGGTTTAGGTGTAGGTTTGGCGTGGTAGAGGTCATGTAAGGATCGTGAGAGCCGTCAGATGAGGAAACACCCAGAGTTAACACACCCCATTCTCCAATACGCAACCATGCTGCTCACCATGCTACACACCATGCTACAGTCAGCTCATGACACACTTCCTGAGATATAGATAAATAGCACATACCGTAATTGCCCCGAGCACTGCACATTGCCAAAAGTATTACACAATGAACACAAGCTAATTAATACATGCTTGAAAGATGTTGCTTCTAAGTTGCTTCTCTAAGTCAAAAGAGATTCCACTCAATTTATTGGCTAATTAATTTCCTCTGCATTCAAACCTCTTAGATTGTATGTGAGGAGATGTCATCTCTCTAGATCTATATAACATATATAACTATATGACATAAAGGTTTCGCTCCAAATTAACATTAGTTGAAAACTATGTGGAAGAGGACTAGAAAGAATTGCTGTCAGTTGCCAATTGCTCTTTATATTCATTCAAATTTCAAATTCAGTCAAATCTGACCTGCACAACCAGCCAAAAGAAAATGTTTGGATGCCAAAAGTGGCTATATTAAAGGAGTAGATGCTTTTATGATTCCTAAAAAGGAATATTTGGGGAAATATACTTATTAACTGTCTTGCAGAGATTGATACCACTTTCATATTTAACAGATTTGAATGGTATTATGGTGCACTCCATTTGAACTGGGAGGTCCAAGTTCCCAGTCAGCCCCTTGAAGTCGGATTTCCAACCAGGAAAGTCAGAAGAACCTCACCAACCCTGACCTCAAAATCCAATCCAATGCTCCATGCATAAACTAAGTGAAAGTTGTGATAATATACGGTTTAGTAGCTCTTTTGTGTCTCATTAAATCAGTCATACACACAGTACTGTACAACTTCTGTCTGTGGACATTTGTATGACTAAAATACAGCGTTGTCATCAACTGGTATTGCTAACAATTGCTAACCTGGCTAGAGCCTGGTTTTCAGACTAGTACTGGAACATGTTTCACTCGGGTGAGATGTGATTCTCAGCTCCAACGTCAGACTTCTTCTCATCTTAACCAGAAAGCAAATAAGCATGTGTTTCCCAAAATGTCAACGTATTCCTTTAACCACACAGCACAGAATCACTTCAGCTGCTACATTAATAGGGAACAAACCCAACAGCATAAATCAACTCAGTTTAATCACAGATTGGAAATGCCCTAAGCAATAAACATATGTCACGATAACAAAAGGGAAATTCAAATTCAAGTGCCAGTTAGGGCCTGTGGTTTGATCCAGGACAATGGCAGGAAGTAGGTGCCACGAGAGAAAAACTACAGAAAAATGCAGATTTGGACCCAGGATCTTCTTCCTGTGAGGTAACAGTGCAGATCACTGGCCTGTCTCTGCTACTACAGATTGACTACATGATCATTATGCAGACTTTAAAGATACTTTTTGTTTTTAGGCAAAGGAATTTGTAACCACAACTAATCAGATCACTTTGTTCTGACGGCAGTATCTATTTCCTCATCGGATGGTCTTCTCCTTGCTGTAATAATAGTTTGTTTGTTGTTCCACAAATTGCAGCTATTCGCTCACACTGCAGATTCAATATCCTTTCTTCCACCCTCAGTAAACAAATCATTTATTGGTCTGTTCAGAGAGCGGAATCTCAAAGTAGAACAGGAACAATTTAGTTTCCTATTTTTATACAAGGAAAAGCCAGACAAAGCTGTAGACCGGCTCAGCCGTTTCCCCTCTACGCACGTTCGGATATAACACAGGCTCCTGCACGCACATTCATAAACACATTTAAAGTATGACCTTCATCAAATGACGGTCGGAGTCAATATTTGAGCAGTCAATTTGAAGCAGGTTAATAAGACACAGGTTGGAGCTATTAGTTCAGCCCTGGAAGAGCAAGCATACAGTCACAGCAGAGAGGTCATCTTTATCACGTCAGATGTAAATTTCCCATACTATTTGTTTTCCAGATGTCACATTAAAAAGGGATTCAGTTATGACTTTTATCGACCTCCATCAGTCACCGCAGGATTTGCAACAGCACTGACAGGTCTTTGGCACAGCGTACAGTAGCCTGTTATTGACGTAAAGTGACATCAGAGATTTAAAAACTGGGTAATTGAAAAAGACGAGTGTAGCAAATGGGTAATAAATCATGGTTGTGTTTCAGCTCATGTTAGTGTGGGAATGAGTTTTAATAGCCAGAAAATCAAAGCAGAAGTACTGTTAAGTCATTGGACTTTATCAGTAAACGTGTAGTTGTGATGGTTGTGAGGTTGCATTGCCCAGTAAATATCTAAAAAGTGAACATTTAAATGGGCTACTGTCACCTGAGTAAAGCGAAAAAGCATGACAATTGGATATTTATAGAAAGCAGGTGGTGCAATTGAACGAACAAACCATTATTATTGTCAGTGCTTTTTAAAAAAAAAAGGCTTTGACTGATCCAGTCACTGTCTAAATTGGCTGAGTTTGAAACAGACTGATGAGTGTTTAATAGTAAAGTAAAGTGGAAGGTGTTCATATTTGTGGTAATTAAAATCATTATTATTATTAATACATATTAAAAGTCAAAAGTATTAGACAGTTAAAATTATTTATAACTTTAAAAGCTACTTAACAGCTACTGTGAGGAGGAATGTTAAATATCCAATGCTGACATATTGAGACAGGTTTTCTGGGTTTATTTACTGTGGTCATTAGTTTTATATGTATTTTAAACTAGTTCTGTCAATTAAGGACATCTATGTGAGTAAACCACAGACAGCTATTTTTACTTTTGTTTCATGAGGACTCAAGACCTGAACTGAAATAGTTTTGTGATAAGGGATTTTAAAAGTTATTTATAGGTCTGGTGGAATCTGATTAATCTCCTTTAATGTGGATATTACCGTGATAGAAACCTGCTCAAATTGTCTGGACTTTAATTTTCCACTGAGGATACTCTGATTTCCCACGAGTATTATAATTCTATACTAGTACTAATACCACATTAAATGACTAAGCCTTTGATAATAAAGATACTTTCCATTTACAGTTTAGCATCCTGACAAAACTTTCAAGCAAGAGGTGCAGCTTGAACGTTGTTGGCATGCACGGTGCACTCTTTCGGCTGGAAAATAAAGCCTATTATCAAACAAGGCTTATCACAGTTGAACATTATAATAAAAGAAAGCACATACAATAGCACTGTACAGGGCCAGCATTGATTCTCTACGTGAAATTCAGCAAAAACACCTATAGGCCAATAAATAAATGATAAATAACTATTTTTTTTATTTAATTCAACAACCCTAATTGTATACAAACTGTATAAACTGGCCACTGTCCCAGCCTAAATGTAAATGAAGCTGGTTAGGCGTAGCTGGAATGCAGACATAGTAATTAACCTTTACAGGAGTGACTGTAGCGTAATTTAGACAATAGGTAACCTTTCTATTCTTAGAACTACAACGCCAACTCCCCTCATCATATAACTACACATTATTGTTTAGAATAAAAACAAATCTAACCCAAACTGCTTAATACGTCATAACAATGCCCCTTATATTACATGAAAACTGACACTGGTGAGCTCCGATGCAGCGCTTCCATACAAACAGCGGTCATATTTTCCTACAACGTAGTGGCAACTGATGAGATGATAGTAGAGCTGTTCCACCACTCACTTATCAATAAGAGATACACAGATACACACAGGCAGATAGTGCTGGGAACTGAAATTCAATCTTCCTAACTCAGAGTAATTCTGTGTTGTTCCACTAGTTCAACAATAACAGTAGATTTCTAAATCTGAGAGCTCTTTGGAATGTGAGCTATTCCCTTTCACCTGAGACTCACCTGCTGTCCCGCCATTATGTCTGGGAGAACCCCAGTTCTCACACACACACACAC